ATCCTAAAGAAGCACAGCAAACTCTGCAGGCTATGTATAAATCCCATTTAAATCCCCCTGCAATTCATGCTGAATTCCCTCTTCTCTCCTTGCTGAGTCCCAGGAGCTGTTCTGAGTAAATAAGAGCTGCTGCTTTGCTAAAAACCTCTTCCTACCTGCTGAGTTTTAGTTGTACTGGAGTGTGGTGCAAGCCACGTCATAGCTGTGCTCTACAGAAGCTGCCCAACCAACTGCTGCTCTGAATACGTTTTCCTAAAGATGAGGAACATATCTGGAGCCCAATATTTTTTACATATATAAATTTATTTGTAGGCCCCTCACTACAAGAACATGGAAGTGCTGGAGCGTGTCCAGAGGAGAGTCACCAAGCTGGTGAGGGATCTGGAGAACAAGTCCTGTGAGGAGAGGCTGAGGGAACTGGGCATGGTGAGTTTGGAGAAGAGGAGGCTGAGGGGAGGCCTCCTTGCCCTCTACAACTCCCTGAAAGGAGGTTGCAGAGAGGTGGGGGTTGGCCTCTTCTCCCAAGGGAATAATGACAGGAACAGGGGGAATGGTCTGAAGTTGGGGCAGGGGAGATTTAGGTTAGATCTGAGGAAGAATGACTTTGCTGAGAGGGTGGTCAGGCATTGGAACAGCCTGCCCAGGGAGGTGGTGGAGTCACCATCCCTGGAGGGATTTCAGAAACGTGTAGACGTGGCACTTCAGGGCATGCTCTAGTGCCCCAGATTGTTGGGTTGTGTGTGTTTGTGGGTGTATTTTTCTGTGTGGTGGTTTGTTGGGTTTTTTTGTGTGGTTGGACTCGATGATCTCAAAGGTCCCTCTCAACCATGAAGATTCTGTGATATATATGAAATAATATATATAAATTGCAGTTTCTCCATACCCAGGCCAGTCATCAGGTCTGTACCAAATTAACGGCAAATCTATTTGGTTGAGAGGCCTGACTGGCTGTCTAGTTATCAGAGGAGGTTTAGAAGGTCTGAACACCCCCTCAACCTTTCCTGCCAATCATTTGGAAACTTCCTCTGTCAGACAGCCTCATCTGTCACTCGGGGAGCTACACCTGCTTGCTTGTTTATTTTCTCACTTAGGGTTGAGGTCATCCGCCCTCCTTTTAACTAATCAGAGGAGACAGCCATAATCAAAGCACAAGATGAGTGCTCCTGGGATGTCTTTCCTGAATAGCCCCTCTGGATGTTCTTCTGAAAACCTTGCAAACTAATGCAGGTATATACAAACAGAGGAGAAGAATGGGGGAGAAAGCTTTTTTTTTGTTGGTTTTGTTTTGAGGTCCAGCTAGAAAAGAGGAAAGAAACGTTGCTGAATCTTACACGCTACCTGGAAAAACGGGTGTAATATTTCCTGGGGAATTTGCCATGCGCCACAGGAAAAACTGTCAGTAGTTCATTAAACAGCAGCCCTTCATGGAAAAATTCAGCTGATGTCCTAGCACAGAGGTAAGCTACAAAGGTAAGGGAAAGTGCTTATTTCTCAAAAAAAAGCAAATCAGCCCCTTGACTGCTTGTTGTCCTTAAGGGACTATCTGTAACAAAACATGCCAGACTGGGTGGAGTTACTCATTTTTGCCTCTCTGAAACAGAAGTCTACTAGACACGTTTGTTAGGCTCTGCTAAACAGTATTAAGTAATTGTCAGGTCCTGCCTCCGAGATCAGTGCATTTCAGCATCGTCTGAAGCTACTCCTGTGGAGGTGATTCTTAAAAAAGCTTTCTACTGTGGATGAGAGGTTTGGATCTGAAAGAAAGGGCACCACAAAAAAAAAAAAAAAAAAAAAAAAGAAAAAAGCCAGAGTTCAGGAAAAGAAAGCGCATCTGACTTTTTTGCCCCTTGCCCAATTGTGGAGGGGGCCGGCAGTTTGCCTTTCCTTCCAGACCCTCGAGCATCATTTAAAGGATATTAGTGCCAGCCTGCTCTCTCGGGACTGATTTCTCTTTGTAATGCTGTTTGTTGTGATGAACCACATGTCAGGATGATTAGCAGAGAGAGGTACAATGCCTTTTTGCAGCGGTGGCTGGTAAGGGATTGTCTGGACCCCCAGGCCTGGGAGAGGTGGGAAAAGCATCTTGTCAGAAATGAAGAGAGTGGAGAGATGCAAATTGTTGTATTTACAGATACACACACACACATAAAAAATGCTGAAAAGGAGCAAAGGAGAACAGAGGAGGAAGACTTAGGAACAGGGATGAGATGGACCTTCCCTCTGAGCAAGCACGGCTGTTTTCACGCATAAGAAGCCACTGTTGCTTATCAGCAACTACTTGTACCAGATGGTACCCCCCAAAGAACAAATTAAAAAAACATTTGCAGAGGAGACTGACAGATACTGAAGAAAAATAAACCATACTGGAGAAGGTTTAATAATTTCACCGAGCGGTAGGAAGATGCCTGGAACAATCAAAAGGGGGAAAAAAAAGAAAAGATAGTGGAAGAGGAGAGAATTAAGAGGAGAAGAGCACGGGTCACCCATACGTATGGTGGTTCTCACAGAGTGGTCCTCCATGGTGGTCATCCTCCTTCTTGGGAGGGCAAGCAAGCTGCTGCTTCCTAATGATGGTTGTTCTTAACCTGCTTAAAAAATGATAGCAAAGTCATAATAGCCTTAGAAATTCAAGTTCTTGGTGCAGAAGGAAGGAAACTTTCAAAAGACAGAAGTGAAACAAAACATTTTCTGTTTCTACAGTGTAAATAACAGTAATCTCTGGATGTCTTTAATATCTTTTCCTTGTTTCCCAATAACCTCTTACTTCTGTCACTGTCAGGACACGAAAGTTTCCAATTCTTCTGAATTTCTATCGATTTTTTTTTTTTTGTAGACTGAAATTGCTTGTAGAGTCTAATCTCTTGTAGGTGGCAGGACAGCTTATCGGAAAGGTCCAAAGCGAAGACTTGGTGCTCGCACCATTCAGACCAAAGGGGCACCCACAGCCATTGCAAGCTGGTGTCATCACGCAGGATAAATGCAGAGGGCTGTGCCGCCATCCAGTGTGACCTGAACAGGCTGGAGAGCTGGGCAGAGAAGAAACCTAATGAGGTTCAGCAAGGGCAAATGTAGGGTCATGTACCTGGGGAGGAAGAACCCCAGGCACCAGTATAGGTTAGGGGTGGATCTTCTGGGAAGCACTACTGAGGAGAAGGATCTGGGGGTCTTCTTCTACAGGCCAGCAGTGTGCCCTTGTGGCCAAGAGGCCAATGGGATCCTGGGCTGTGTAGGGAAGAGTGTGGCCAGGAGGTGGAGGGAGGTCATTCTCCCCCTCTGCTCTGCACTGGGGAGGCCACCACTGGAATCCTGCCTCCAGTGCTGGGCTCCCCAGTTCAAGAGAGACAGGGAACTGCTGGAGAGAGTCCAGCGTAGGGCAACAGAGATGATGGAGGGATTGGAGCATCTCCCTGATGAGGAAAGGCTGAGAGAGCTGGGGCTCTTGAGCCTGGAGAAGAGAAGGCTGAGGGGAGACCTTATGAATGCTGACAAGGATCTCAAGGGTGGGTTGAAGGAGGATGGAGCCGGACTCTTTTCAGTGGTTCCCAGTGACAGGACGAGGGGCAACGGGCACAAGCTGGACCATGGGAAATTCCTCTCAAATCTGAGGAAGAACTTCTTTCAGGTGAAGGTGGCAGAGCCCTGGCAGAGGCTGCCCAGGGAGGGTGTGGAGTCCCCTTCTCTGGAGATCTTCAAGCCCCCCCTGGATGCTCCTGAGTGATGTGCTCTGGGCAGCCCTGCTTTGGCAGGGGAGTTGGACTGGGTGGTCTCTAGAGGTCCCTTCCAACCCTGACAGTTCCCTGATTCCATGAAACGCAGCCCAAACACTTTGTCACTGAAGCCCTGTTGATCTGAGGGTGACTCTCAGACCGGGACTGCTGGCTGAGGGCTGGCGTGTTGCTCACGCTTACCCCTCGCTTGGAGTCCACGCTTTCATTGCCTACCACTGCCGTCTTTTTCCCAAAACCGTCTGTTTTTTCGTCTAAAACAGGGCCCTTCCGCCCTGTCCCAGCCCGGTGGCCGCGCTGCTCTGCTGCCCTCTGCCGCGGGCCCCGCGCACCTCCCCCCGAGCCGCCGCCGAGGGGACGGGGAGGGGGGCTCCGGGGACGGGCCGGGGGCTGTGTCGGGGGCGGCGGGGCGAGGTGGCCCCGGGGAGCAGCGGCACCGGGTGCCGGTAGGGGGGGGGATGGCCGGCCCCGGTGGGAGGCGGGTATACCTGTCCTGCGCGGGGCCCGGGTCGCGCCGCAGTTCGGAGCTGCAATTTGGGTCAATTTATTCACTACAGGATCTCAAGCTCCTAGCGCGGAGAGTGACTGGCGAATTTTATTTTTTCATAGCGGTCCCTCACCGTTCTTTGCCCTAAGTAACCCCTCCGCGCGCTGGGTACAGAGTTTAATTAAAAAAAAAATTTTAATAAAAAAAAAAAAAAAAAAAAAAAAAAAAAAAAAGGAAGTCCCATTGCGGCCGCTTCCTTTTATTTAGAGAATGGAAAAGCAGAGCGCGCCCCCGCGCCCTGAGGCTGGTCCCCACGGGCGGCTGAGGCCCGGCCGCCATTTCTCCTCAGGGGCGGGCGGCGGGAACCGCGCTGGGCCCAGCCCCACTGGGGTCGGGGGCGGGAGAAGTGGAACCCCCACCTACAGCGAGCGAAGGTGCAGCCCAAAAGGAAGTCCCACTGCGGCCGCTTCCTTTTATTTAGAGAATGGAAAAGCAGAGCGCGCCCCCGCGCCCTGAGGCTGGTCCCCACGGACGGCTGAGGCCCGGCCGCCATTTCTCCTCAGGGGCGGGCGGCGGGAACCGCGCTGGGCCCAGCCCCACTGGGGTCGGGGGCGGGAGAAGTGGAACCCCCACCTACAGCGAGCGAAGGTGCAGCCCCCGGCCCCTCTCCCTCCTTCTCCTCAGGCTCCGCACCGGCGCTGAGGTCCCGTCCCTCAGCCCGCCTTCCCGCCGCCGAGCAACGGATGGCGGCGGCCATCGATTCTCTCGGCTTGCCTTAACCCCCCCCGCCCCCCCGCGCTTCCTTCCCGCTCCCCGCCCGCCCGGTCGGACGCGCCACCCCGGGGGCGGGTGCCGGTGCGGGGGGAGCGTAGGCAGGACACGGCGTGGCTGCTGGTAGCCGCCCGCCGGCAAGAGCGAGCGCAGCCCGTCCCTCAGGGAGAAGGGCTAACCCACGCGTGTTCCTTCCGCCTTCTCCGCCTCCCCGCCCCGTGGGGGCTCCCGCTGCTTTTCCTCCGCGCCCGCCCCCCACCGAGCAGGGTGGCCCGGGGCCATGGAGCGGGCGTTCACGCCGCTGGACTGTCTCCTACCCGCCGGTACGGTACCTCCCGCCGCCAGACGCCACCGGCCCGCCGTGAGGGAGGGGGTGAGGGAGGGAGGGAGGGAGGGAGGGAAGGCGGGAACCGGGGCGGGGCAGCCCCGGCGGCGGGCGGTGCTACCCGGGGCGGCCCCCCCCTTCCTTTGGCGGCTGAGGGGCTCCACGCCGCGCCGGTCAGCCGCCTTTCCCGGTAACGGCGCCGAGTTCCGCAGCTGCTCCCCCGCCCATTGAGTGCTCGGTCTTAAAACACTCCGGTATAAACGGCGCGACCCCTTCTCCGGGTGGGCGCTGCCTGAGGGGTTGCCCGCCTCCCCTCAGCCCGGCCGCCAGCCGGTGTCTTGTTAATACGACCGATTTGTTACCGGTTTTAACCCCCTTCGGGAGGTAAAAATGTCGCGTTTAAAATGTCGGCCCCCTTCTGGGGTTTAATCTTTAGTTGGGCCTGTCACGGTTTGCTTGGCTTGGCGGGGCGAAACGCTCCGGTGAGGAGCGTCCCTTGGCGAGGGGACCTGTGGGCTTGGTGTCCTTCCGTGGCGTCAGAGGTCCTGCCCACAGAGCACCCCCCAACGCCCTCAGAGCCCCCCCCCCTTCGCCCACAGACCCCCCCTCCTCACCCACAGAGT